TCTTTATTCTAACAAAATAAAACATTCAGAAATAAAATTGTAACACAATTATTGTGATACCTTTTAACATTTTGTATCAAATTTAAACTTATCGATGCTTTCTTTCATCAATCAACCACGTGTTCATGAGAACACACTTATTAACTACACAAGATTGACGAAGAAAGTCATCAACAAATAATGAGTACTTATATACAATTTTAAAGACTATTGTTAGGAGAAAACAAGTTATTATATGATAACTATCACAAGGATACTAAATGAGGTAAGTGATGGCTAAGGATTAGGGATTGTGATTCATCCATTAATTTGGGTTAATCTTATTCCCCCATCTCCCTCGCGTGCAAGCTGGTCGGTGAAAGGAAAGACCAATCTTGTTCATTAAATTGTACATGCAAGGTAATCTATCTATATATATATATATATATATATATATTAAAGGAAGAATCAAGAGTATTGAGGTGGCATCATGGAGTTTTTTGCAAAAATGGGTTGGTTTTGAAAAATGTTTGTAGAAATAGGTTAGTTTTAGTTTTATTGGTAGAAATTAAATAAGACAATGTCCTCGTTGGATTTTGTGGGGATTATAGTGTTTGAAAGGTGCAGGTGACTATATTGAATAACAAATGAAGGCCTATGCCATTCCCTAATCAAGTGTAGATTATGTGAGCTAAGTTGTGACCCAAGAAGAATTTTGCTAGTCCTAGCAAGAACAAAGTGACCTAGGTGAGTGACAAGTAACCAAAGAATTATTTGGGCTATGATTCCATAGGTAACTACCTTTACATCATGTAATCATGCAAGAAAATAAAACTAAAAGCTATAAAAACTATCCCAGACTTTAAAAAAGAAAAATATGGAGACTAAATGTAGTGATTTGAACATGTCCTACTCCATAGGGTTGTTTGTTTAGAGCTTCACAAGCTTAATGGTGTGGTGAGCTTATTCGATCACCATCATATTCCCATGGTCATCACCATATCTCAGTAACTTGGTGCACCTGATTCAAAGCATATGCCTCAAACAAAATATGTAAACATCAAAAGTAGACGTTTACAGTAAATACGTAAAAGAACTACTTTAACCTTATATGAAATAATACAATAATTTTATCCATACACATATTTTAATTTGATTTTTTCCCAATCATTCTAAAATATAAATGATTTAAATAACACATAAAAGGGGTGTTCAAAAAAAAAACTGTTGGGATTGTTCAAACCGGTCGAACCAAGCCAAGTAGATCATTTTTGGCTGTTTGAGTGGTCTGGCGATCTAGTCCAGGTTGAAAAATAGCAAAGCCGCTTGGTCCGCTCTAGTCTGCCTATTGTACTTTTTTAAGTGGTCTGGACGGAACCGATTGTCAAAATACATATGTATTGATTATGTTTATTTTTCATCTTGTAGTCTTTACTTTTATGCCCTAGCTAAAAAAAGTTCGTCAAAGACATTATGTTTTTACTTTTCATTTCTGAATTGGTAAACTTCTGAAATTCGTTAAAAATCAAATTCAAAATTCCAAATTATCCTTAATCTTGCTCAACGTTTGTCCAAAATTACAACTATTGTTGGTGGACTTGTTTAACTTTTTTTTTTTCTCTTTCATTTGCTCAATGTAATTTTTTCATTTTAGAGATAGACGTTTTTTTGTTATCCGGTATACTATTTCTTAATAGTGCTATATTGATAGAAATTTCATTCAGATATAGATATCATTTTTTTAGTTTAAAGCACATAACAGGTCTAAACCGTTTAAACCGGTCATACCATACTGTTTTTTGTGGTCCGGTTTAACTGGTTTGGTTATTTGCTATCAAACGATTCAATTTAGAATTTTTTTAACCACCATTACAATTTAGTTTACGGTTTGGAGGTTACACCGCTCAAAACAAAAAGTAAACACTCCCATCCTATGAATTTAACTATAAAATTTCATGAAAATATACTCATTGTTTTAGTCTAGTCAAAGTCAAGGGACTTTTTGGTAAAACTACATACTACAACATAAAAGCCAAGAAATCATGTTGAAAGCCACCAAATTTTTTGAACAAATTGGAATGTCCTCATGTAGAAAAGAGACCAACACATTCCTCATCACTTGAATGTCTGAATTGCCCCTACTAACTTCCATTTTCTTACTTGGCCTTTTTGTAAGTATAATCTTTCCCAAAGGGCAAACTGGTAATTTTAGCTCAGCAGGCCCCCCTCCCAAAACCTATACATAACGCATACTGAGAAGGCACTTGTGCTATTCTTCAAAACCTACAATGTACGGGAAGTCGTCGATGAGTGAGTTTGGTGAGATTCCGCCGGAAGAAGTTCCGAGCCATCCCGGCGGAGTCCGTAATGGAGTTGATTCGATGGATGACCGGAATGTTTCATACGGCCTCGAAGATGTCGACGGCGGGAGTGATGGCATTTGTGATTTTGAGGGAATCGATGGGGTCGTTTACTCGGACCTCGCCATAATGCCGCGCGGCGACGCCGGTGACCAGCTCACTCTTTCTTATTGTGGCCAAGTATACGTGTTTGACAATGTCACTACGGACAAGGTCGGAGTATTGAGTCTTGTTTTCTTCATTTACTGCTTTTAGCGTATGTAACGTTAATGTGTTTGTAAGAGACAGGGAAAACTGAAATTTCTATTCGGAATTTTAATCGTATATTTGACTGACAACTAGAACGAATGCAAAATTTTAGTTTGGAGCTTCAGTTCACTTCGTTGTGTTCATTTTAACAAGACGAATTCACTTTCTTTTGATTCCTCGAGAAAACTTTAGGGGTGTGAGATTGAGATCTTGACTTAACCTGTTAATTGGACTGTTTAATTTGGGGGTTTTGAAACTTAACTATCATTTTTTTAGTATCCTCGTTTATTTGTTGAAGTTTACCTGATTAGTGATGATAATGTGCCTGTTAGAAATACAAAAAATGTTTAATTGGGGCTAAATTTTTTTATCATTCATGTTGTTAAACAAAAACATTAGATTGATGACCGAACTTGAATTGAGTTTATAAAAAGATAAGTTAGTGAGGATGCATAGAAGTATGGAACAAACCTCTACTGGTGATAACAAGGAGCATGTTTATTCCTGTCTCTCTACTTCCTGGGTTTGAAAACTGAGTGTTGTTTGATGATCGCAGGTGCAAAAGGTGTTTTTACATCTTGGGGGATGTGAATTCCCAGTTGGTCAGCAAGGTGCAGAATCAGCATACCAAAATCCTAGAGTAATTGTTTGACCATTTGAAGCTTCATTGTCAATTGCATGTGCTAGTATTTGTCTTCTCTACATTAGTTGCTTCTTTTTTCTGGTTCAGGATTTGGATTATCCTGGTCGCTGTAGTGACCCTCGTAGAGCTGCTTCTCTAAGCAGGTTCCGTCAGAAGAGGAAAGAGCGTTGCTTTGAGAAGAAGATCAGATACAATGTTCGTCAAGAAGTTGCTCGCAGGTAATATTGTGGAAGCCTTAAGTTGTTGATGTATCACTACCGAGAACACCTTAGATTAGCATGAGCATTTTGAAATTATATAAATGCCTGTACCTGAAAGGAACTTGGTTAGTTGGAACTTTATCATCTTAATCATCTACGTCCTTTCAATTTATGGAATCACATTTGATAGTTGTAAGGTATCTAGGATGTTTTGTGAGATGGATATAGATATGTGCTATGTTGATGCTTGATTTATGAAGCCATGTTCTTGCTTTAGAGCTTGACTTTATCTGATTTATTCAATTTTCTTGAACATTTTATCACTTACAGGTCCATGTCTCTTTGCCAAAGTGGGACCTTGGAGTACCCAACTTGTTTATAAGATGGCTTTATTTATATGTGATTTTACATGAAAATGTTCATGTAGTTATACAACCACTTGTCTTGAAAATGGAAGTTGGTCCTCAAGGTAACTCGAGATTGAGACATGAATACTGGAATTTGTGATGTCAATAAAATTTGTGCAAGCAGATGTCCAGTCCTTAAGTATAAAATTTACCTTTGGTATCTTTTCCTGTGGCAAGAAATGTCAACACCGAGTCTCTCTTGTTGGCGACCTGAACCTCCTCTCCTCCCCATAAAAGAAATATTAACTAAATAACCAGTGTACAAGAGCACTAAGGGAAAATAACCTGTATTCCTTATTTAGTTCGATCAAATTAGGGAAGCATGTGAAAGTATGAGTGTATGACTAATAGTTTGTATTTTGCCTCCAGTTCTATATTCAGTCATCTACAACTTCACTCTTCCTTAATCTATCAATATAACATAAGTAGACATTGCTTCTATGCACGAAACAACTTACACAAGTGACATGTAATTTAGAAGTACTGAAAGAGGTTACAAGCATGGAAAACATTCTACCGCTTATTTTTCTTAAATTGTTGATCTGTTGACCTTCACTTTGAGGGAGATGAGTAACTTTTGCCTGTTTGTCCTCAAATGACATTGGTGTGTTTGGTTATTTTTATGAAATACAATTTCTCTTACAAAAACTTACAGAAGCAGTACATAATTTATTTTTCTCTTTGGTGAGTTAGATGTCAGTTGTCATTGATGTGAATTTAAATTGTGGAAAGCTTGACCTTATTCTTTAATCGTCGTTCGCCATCTCAGCGTTGTCTGCTTATTTGGACTTGCATCACTACTTGATTTGGACACACCTGAGGGTATAAAGTTGTGGCTTCCCTGGATTAGTTGGTTTTGATTTAGTTCTTAGTTGTAAGTATGAATCGGTCAGGGTCCTATTCAATCATTTTAGATTCACCATAGGGATCAGAAACAGATATGCTTTGGTTGTTTGATGTTCAATGTTTTATAGTAGGATTTGCTTGACTATTGGGAAAGGTTGCATCTCTTATATGAAGTTTGACCACTGATTCATATACTTTGGTTTCCCTATCTGTTTGTTAGTATAATAATGACTAATATACATGCTGTTTACAACTTCTATTGTTTATATAGATCATAGGGTAGATATTTTTAAAAGGCTTATGGTACAGTAGTATTCCTTGCTTTCTTTCAACCTTAAACTGAATTATAGATCCCTTCCCATGTTGGCGCTTGTTACTTATCAGTATTGCTACGGCAGGATGAACCGTAAGAAGGGCCAATTTGTAACGTCCCAAAATTCCAAGGAATCTGCTCCTTGGAACACTGGAGAAGCTGAGGGTGCAGAACAAGATGAGATCCCAGTCACAACTACGTGAGTCATGAACCGTGTATATATTTACTTTTAATGGTCACATGTTTATGGAACTGAATTAAGATGGTGTGTATTATAACTCTTTATGGGCATGTGTATCGACCAGACATACTTAGGGGCTGTTTGTTTACCTCTTAATCATTCCATTAAGAGGCAGGCTCTGAATCGCTAAAAGGTGAACCTTGTTTGGCAAAAAAAAAGTCTGCCTCTTAATAGTTCTAAAACCGTGTGAATGATTTTGTATCATAGGCCTCCCTTAACCATTCAGCATTCTAATTCCATTTTAAACAATTACCGAAAAATTATATTTCATTTTGCACTATATCATGAGAGCCTCTTAATCATTCTGACCACTTAATCATTTTGCACCAAACCATTCAACAACTGTCAAACAACTCTTTAATAATTCCTACAAAGGCCAACCCTTTCTGTGTGAGTTTTTTATAACCACAATACAGTAGTTTGTAGTACTGTTTGCCTCCAACCATTTCTATGATTATTCAATGGTATCTCTGCATCTCTCTTTTGTCCTCTGCAATGCTAATATAAAACAAAAAATATATAAATTCACTAATTGCATCTACATGTCAACTCTCCATTGGTCGTCAGATGTGCTCATTGTGGTACTTGCTCAATGGACACCCCAATGATGCGACGAGGGCCGGCTGGTCCTAGGACTCTTTGCAATGCCTGTGGACTTTTCTGGGCAAACAGGGTTTGTATCTCGCCTATTCGTTTTTCCTGTACAAGTTGCATGTTCGCTGTTGTTAAATTATACTATGGCTTGTATGTTGGTGAGGGACTGTCTCGGACACATTCAAGTCTGTCTTATGCATAATACCGCTTGCCATGTTCTCATACATCAGCAGACAGCTCAAGTCTATGTCTACGTTTATGCAAGATATCGTCCTTTTTCTTCAGAAGATCATCGATAAGATGGCATCCAGAATTTATATAGTACACAAACAAATATCATCCTCTACATAAAGCACTTAAACTCTCGAATATGTAATCGGCATAATCATGAATTAGTGTAATATCATCTGATTTATGAGACAACAACATGGGCTTTAAGGAAAGTTTACATGGAGTCGAAGAGGGAAGTAAATTAGGTCAATAGGCTTAACAAGAGGAAGCTAGCAGAGGGGAGTTTCTTCTTCCCATGGTCATCACATGGTCCTAAAGAAACATAATGGCTGAAAATAGAGATATGTTTGAAAAAATATGAATTGTTAAACAGTGAAATACTATCTTTTATGCTACCTTTAGCTGTTATCCAGACTTTCTCTGTGGTAAGCTTCGATACGGCTTTTATCTACACCAATACCATGCTGCTGTATGCAGTTTTATTACTTCTCTAAAAGCGAACAAGACAGTTTATGCAGTTCCAGTTTCAATTTTTTATTTTATTGGCCTGTATTTCAGTTTGATTTTGGATTTTTGCTATAAAATTAAATTACCAAATAGGATGATGCGAAGTATAGAAGGTGTACTGTACAAGTTTAGCTCAAAATTACTTAAGTGGCAACCACTAGGTGTGGTTACTGATAACATGTATTTAGGAGAGGATGCATTGTTATTGGCCTTGTGTTTCTTATAGGACTGCGGAAATGTTGCACCCACTTTACTTTCTATGTATAAATAATATAATATACGCTCATCTTTATATTCAGAAACAAACATGCGATTGTTTACATTCTATTTATCACTTTCACTCTCTCCACTATCTCTCTCTGTCTCTAAATGCAATTTATATTGGTATCAAGGCACATATATTACAACCTGCATTTCAGGAAGATTTTCTTTCTTTCTCAAACCAGAATTAGATGACGAATGGCATAGAAATGACATTTGCAGCATCAACATCAATACTTACACCTATACCTTACAGGCAATTCGACAAATAATCTGTTTCTAGTAAGAAGGGAAGTAATCCCATATGCATTTATCATCATGATGGAGCAAACAGGGAACTTTCAACTTAAGTTATGCATTCAAATTATCAAAACACTTATGCAAGATGTAGATAAATCTTATTTTTTGAAAGATTACTATACAAGTTTTAGCATGAAGGATGCATTCATGAAATCAAAATACTATTACATCATGTGTATCACAATTTGCCATGTGATCACCTGATGTTTTAAAGGCAGGAGACTTGAGTTTCTTCAACTTCTTTTTTTTTTCCTGCTAACCCCCTTTTTCCTGCCGTGCTGTTACCTTGTTCTTTAACTGTTTTGTGGTAACTCTTCATCTATATTCTTTTTATGAGCTAAGGGAGGGTATATCTTATTTATAGTGGCTCATAAATGGGGGCATTAAGTGCTTTTAATGATGTGGCTAAGTTTCAAAGGAAAAATCTCCATTTCATCCACATTAACCACCTTTTCAGCCACATATTTGTCCCACTAAGCAGACTTTTCAATTAAATTATTTTATCATTTAGTTAAATAAATATTATACATAATACCTTCTATTATAAAGTTAAGTACATCGTTATGATCATCTCATTTTTCTCTACATTTTGACATACATATGTCAACAGTGTGATTTGTACCCAATAGAATATATTATCGTTTTCAAACCGATCATCTCTTTGATATTGTTAGTTAACTCAAACTTCATGGCTACTTAATATGTTTATCCCACAACAACCCATATTACTTAGAATTGTTTTCTTAAACATTCTTAACTTCTGATTATAACGTTGGTACATGATTGATTATTAACCGATTATTAAATCAGTTGCACTGATTCAGATCGTATTATTATAAACTAAAGCTGTGCATTATTCTCTTGGATTCAATCTTCGTCGGAAGTCTAAAATCCTTAGGATGCACTTACGATAAGGACTGGTTAATTTCAAACTCGATCAACAAAGCCTTCTATTCAATAGCATACCTAAGTTTTCTGACAACACAATCAACTACCCTCTAAAAGTGGGTTGTTACAAGAGTAATGTGGCTTATGTCGTTACAGTAGTAGCTAAGGATATGTTAGGGGTTTTGTTAGGGAGGACTATGGACAAAAGGACTTTTGGTGTTGGAGCGAAGACGTACAAACAAAGGTTAAGGTAAAACAAACTGGTTTTAAGAGTTGATGTCATGCAAGGAAGAGGAGAAAAGACTAGGTTGAAGGTACTGTACAAGGATGCAAAACAAGAGGCAAAAAAGTGGTGTCTATGGCAAAAGACAAGGAATATGAGAATGCGTAGGAAGTTAGATATCAAAGAGGGAAGAAGTGGGATATATAAGCTAGCAGAAGCCAGAGAAAGGAGATGCTAGGATTTAGGAAGCATAAGGTGTAGCAAGGATGAAAATGAGCGGGTTTTACTAAATAATGAAGATATTAAGAAGAGACGATGTGGTTATCTGTATAAGCTATTTAACCAGGAAAGAGAGAGGGATGGATATGGGGTAGGGGTACTTTAGTAAAGACGCAATTTATGTTACTGTCGGCGTATTAGCTTTAGGGGAAGTGAAGTTCTCTAAGAAGATGGGTATGGGTAGGTCGTAGGACAGGACCAGATGGCCGATATGGCCATTTTTGGGAGAAGCGGGTATGCAATGGATAACAAGACACTTCAATGTCTTCCTCACGACTGTCAGGATGCCCGAAGAGTGGAGGCTTAGAATGGTGGTGCCGCTCTATAAGAACAAAGGTGATGCTCAATGTTGTGGTAACTATCATTGCATAAAGCTACTTAGCCCCACAATAAAATTGTGGGAGCAGGTGATAAGAGGCCAACGAGAGGTTAGAATGGTACAATGACTTGGGGAACACTAGGTTGCGAATTAGTTGTTCTAAAACAGAAAATGTTTGTTGTAATTTCAAGGGAACGTATAGAAGAGGGGTTGAAGTCAATAATCGAGGAGAGGGGGGGGGGGAAGGTAACCCGAAGGGACAGTTTCAAGTATTTAGTTTTCATGATTCAAAAAGATGGGGAGGTCGAGGAAGACGCAACACATCGCATAAAGGCAGAATGGCTAAAGTTGAGAGCTGCCACAAGGGTGTTGTGCGACAAGAAGGTTCCAGTAAAACTGAAAGGCAAATTCTGTAGGGTAGCAATCAAACAATATGTTGCAGTGTTTGGAATTTTGGGTGACAAGGAAGGTCGTTGAGAGGAGGTCGGAAGTTGCGGAGATGAGGATGCTTAGGTGCACTTGTGGTCGGACCATGTTAGACAGATTTCACAATGAGGTTTTCTGGACAGAGTTAGGAGTTGCCCCAATCTTGGATAAATTGTGAGAGCGGAGATTGCGATGGTTTGGGCACGTTCGTAGGAGACTGTTGACAACACTAATGAGAAGAGTAGAAAGAGTGACAATTGAGGGGATGAGGATGGGAAGTCTGAGGAGGACATGGGATAAGTATCTGAGGATGGACATGGCAGCCTTAGACATTTCTAAGGACATGAACTCTGATAGGAGTATTTTGAGATGGAAGCCCAGACTAGATATGGGAACCAATAGGAGAGGTTTGGGAGAGGGTAGAGGGCTAGCAGTTTAGACTAGGGTTGTGTTTTTGCGATACTTGCTCAATATTGTTCTGCCTCACTTGCTCTATGTGTGTCTCATCTTACCCTACCTTACCTTGTATATGTTTTCAATGTACCTACTCATTATCTTTTTACTTAATTTTCTCACTCTATGTTCAGCATGTGCTAGTCCTCGTTCATTCTATCTATTTCTTCTCACTCTTGGGGGTCTTCATGGAAATAACCGCTTTGTCTTTTGTGGTAGAGGTCAAGTCTGCGTACATCTCAACCCCCTGCAGTCCCTATTTTTGGGTGGGAGTTACTGGGTTGGTTTTTTTTTTAATGGTGACCATGAATCCTTTGAGCTCCAAATTTGATGCATAGAGCAACATTAATGCTGGATTTGATTCCATGGAGAAATAGGGATGGCAAATATTGACAACTAAACAGATAACTTGAATTGTGCCCTTCAGGAAGTAAAGACTATTAAAAGCAATTGCTTGGCAACTCTAAATGCAACGCTCCAATTTCTTTTCTTTTTTGCAAACCCCTTCATACATGCCTACGGGAAGACCCTAAATTTTGAGTGTGCTCATAGAGTATCTGCATAGTTCTTATTATGATAAATTATTGAGTCAGGAGTAGTTGTGGATCCGTCCTATAGCTTTTGAGAGTCTTTAAATGGCATGTCTGAGCAGAAGGGTGACAGTCATAATCTGTGAGAGCTAGAGTAGGTAGAATCATACAATTCTTTGTTTTTGGATGATATCAGTAGGCTGTGACCCAATTATAAACTGAGAGGATGTTGTCACAGCTAGTGTAATGGTTCAAATTTGTAGGAAACTGCACTAAAAAAGTATTGGATACTATGACTGTCAACGTCCAAATTTGTAGATTTCTGGGCTTCTAGCCAGTAGCAAGATTAGTGACCTCCATTATCAGGTGAACAAGGAAAATAGCTGAGCTTAGAAGCACCTAAACACTATGTAATGTTTCAAACTACAACTTGTCGTCTATGTCTTCTTGTAAGTAGAATGTGGTGTTTTGTCTACTCTATGTACATCTTCCTCCTATAATGAATGGAGCCATTATTTTTTTATTTTTTATTTTTTGGGGGGGAGGAAGAGTTATGCAAAGATGGGGACAATTATATTATCTGTTGTTCTAACGAATCTTGGCAGATTACTTGTATCTATTGTAATTCAAAACGACGTGCTACATATCTTTAACTTGAATGTTTTAGTGACTTGTAATTCTGTTTGTTCATTGAAAAGTAATGTTCATCTTTGTAAGGTTATATCCATTACTGTTGGGTCTCATTAAGCATGTTCTTACCATTTTTGGTCTTTACCTTAAAAACTTCCACGCTTGTGTCTCCACTTATACAGGGCACAATGAGGGACCTTTCGAAGAAATCCAATGATCAATCTTCTTCGCTAGCTGAACAGGTGTACAAGTGTAAGGTACTATATATCTTCCCTTTACTCCCAACCGAAATTATTAAGTTTAGGCCATTCAACATTTCAAACAATTTTGTCTGTGAGATAGAATTAACATGTGATTATGGGTTTCATTTACTCAATTCAAAGAAAACAGAGACAAGGGCCGTAAATTGTATAATATTTGATTTTAATGAATAGCATCTTATCTTATCTTCATAAAATTTTAATACGTCCTCCACCCATGAAAATTTCAACTCTATTGTGTGATATCCCATTTCTTACCGTAGCTATTCATATATGGCTAAATATCAAAGCTTAAATTACCTGTATTACACAGGGTGTCATTACAAATTATTTATGGCATTGTGTTTTGTCCACAAGATTCTCTTATTTTTTGCCACAAAGGATAATTTGACATTTGACTAATTGTCATTCTCACATGCATTTTTTTCTTCTATTCTCTGGAGTAGAGGTCAGATATGCGTGCATTTGACCTGGTGATACCGGGTTAGTTTGGTTTGGTTTGGTTTCTAAGAACCAATTAAAGGGTTGATTAACACCTGCAATCATTCTTCAATAGTCATGAGGCATAGTGAGTACTAATTAACAAGTCTTTATTTGGTGGTGTTGTAGGATGAGTACAATGGATCCAACTTTGGAACCACAATGCCTAGATGCAGCAACGATGCTGAGCTTGGATTTGGCAACTGAGCAGCAAGGCTTCTCTTGCATATATACATATAAATATATATTATATATATCAACCAATTCAAAACTAAATAGAGGATTTTAGCTTACTTTGTGTACATATGGATTTGTTGGTTTTAATTGCCTGCTGCTACTAGCTCAAATTCTGTGTCTTAGCTGTTTTTATACCGACTGGGGTTCTTTTTTAAAATCCCCAACATGGTTTTAAGTTAAAAACACAAGAAGTAAAGCGTTTCCTGCTTTCATTACAATCCCAGTTTGTATGTTCTTCTGTTACAAGAAATTAATGTGATCTGTGTTCCATGATGCAATGAATATATGACCTGCAAAATGAAGGAATGGATTGGAAATTTTGACAGAAAAATCTGACATATTTATTTGGATTGCAAAGGTCTCAGACCTTTAATAAATCCCTTCATCCTATACAACTGATGGGTCGATATAAAGAAGCTACACATTCTAGATCTATAAAACACATGATCATTGTGTGGATGGCGGGTTTTCCTTTTCCCCAGCAGCTTTTTCTTGGGCAGCCTTGTACTCGAGGTATTCCTCAAAAGGATCGTCGGAGTCACTCGAAGAAGAATCACTGTCGGATGCTGTCGGTGATGATGGAAGCCCATCAACAGAAAAACCTGACCAAATTTCATCAACTTATTTTAAAACAACAGTTTCTTGTAAACAACATAGAAAGGATCATTTGTTGCAAGGAAACTGACCTTTCTGCGAGTACTTCCTGGTGTGGCGACGTATAAGCCTCTTAGCTTTGGTTATGGTGAGTTGCCTCGCAAAAGGAGAATAATCCTCGTGATCACTCCACTCGCCTGGCATTGCTTCTTCTCCTTCATTTCTCATTGTACGAAGCACAAAGGCCTTGGCCTTACGACGCTGTGTATGGAATAACCCTCTCACAGAGGTCACAAATCCATCACCAGCTCCATCAGTTGCCGGTTTTGGAAAAGCAAGAGCAAGATTCTCAGATATGCCAGCAGACCCACCATCGCTATCGCTATCATGATCAAGAGTAGGGACATTTGCTAGATTCGGTTCTTTGTTTTGACCATGCATCTTATCTTTGAACTTCTTACCCTGCACCAACAAAATTATCATACTTTCAATCTACTTTAACAATTGACAGAAATCATATACCCCAAAATAAATATATGTATCTGTTGTGTTTCAAGTAATTAGAGAGAATGGATTTTCGGGTTGTGTGTTCTTTTACCTGCATTCCCGTAACAGACTTGAGGACGCTCCAAATAACATGCTTCTTCACTCTTGCAAGCAGCTTCTTCCAAGTACCAGTGAATTCAACACGGTGGAATGAATCCATCAACAACCTCAGATCACTGACAGCAAATCTAGAGCCTTCGTACGTCACTAGTAGTTCTACCTGTTCCAACACCATTTTTTTACATAATGCTTTGCTTCAACTTTGAAGAATAACTCATGTCCTTGAAAAATAACTCCCACCTGACTTATCTTGATATTATGAAACTCTCTCAGCACCTGAGGCTTGCCTTTTTTGTTGTCAGCTGGTTTACCCACCTTGGCTTCTTGATCTTGACCAGTTTTTGAAGCTTTTGCAGGTTTTGCAGTTTTTGCAGGTTTTGCAGTTTTTGCGGTTTTTGAGTCCTTGGATTTAGGTTTACTCAACTCATCCTGATCTAGACACATAGGTGAAGAATGCATTTCTTCTAGAAGTTCATTAGCCACGGATTCCGCTACAGTTTCTTCCCATGTTCTATCAAAAGAAGAAGTTCTTCTCAACTCATGTGCTGATGCTTTTGCTTTCTTTGATGCCTGCAGGCATGCAATACCAACCATAGAATTTAAGAGCATATTCTCCAAAATGAAGATTTTAACCTACAGCAGTTTCTCCAAAATGGTGAAAGAACATAAAAATCTTCAAATTCGAAGAACTCATCGAAATTAAATGCTCAAGAGAGAAATGGTTCTTTTTATTGTTTCCACCAAGTTGATTGTATAATAAAATCTGTTGGGATATTAAATGTATTGAATATTTTAATAATATAATTAATGTTGAAATCTCCAAAAATGGGAATCTGTTGGAGTTGAATGCAATGTTTTTAGAGATTTTAACTTTTGTTTCTCCATTTTGGAGAGATTATTTTAATACCCAAATGCATCACCTAAGATTTTCATGTAAGCTATTTGGAATATTTACCAAGGGATCAGCAGAGCTTTTAGTGGATCCCTCTAATTCTTTTGTAGTCTCATTCCCTTTTTTGCCTCGTCTGAATCCAGCAGTTGTGGAGACCTTCCAAACTTCCTATTCGTTCCAAAGTGACATCCAGTTTCTAAACTCAAAATACGAATACAAATACAAATACAATTGTACGTTGAAATAGTCGATAGAGGGAGGCTTAAAACCTGCCGTCGGTGGCTATCTTGTTCCTCCTCTGGGAAGAAATACCCCCACATCACTCGGTACATTGACTCAGTCAAATGTATTTTCAAGGGGTAAACATCAGCCTATATGTTTAAACAATTAGTATAGAAAGATGAGAAACATTTCAAGCAAATTAATTAATAATAATAATAATTATTATTTTTTTTCTCACTCGAAAATACCCTTTAACAATGACATGTGAACGCAAATCAGTAGGATCACAATTTCATAATGAAGACAATAGGATAAAAGGAGAGAATGGGAGTGTTTACCTGGAACAGTTCAATAGGAGAGGCACCATCCTTCCGAGCACCAACTTTTGCATCTACTCGAATCATCACTTTCCTGTTATTGCATCAATTAAGAATAAGGGACGCATCAGTTAATTACATACACAAAATCCTAATCTAAACATACTCAAGGATAAGGGTCATTGGTCCCAGTGGATTCAAATCTCACCAAAGGTGAAAAGTGTGCGTGGTTATTTCTCGTGTATAAATATTATATACTTCAAAAAAGAAAGAAAAAGCCAAAGCTTATAAATATCGACACCAAACAGGTATTGCAACCATAAAATGAAAATTATTATTGCATACTTAAACAATACCAGCTACAACACCTCCTAATCTATAGTTTCTATATTTGGGGACAAGAAACATTACACAACCTAATTAACGCAGAAAATTATTTACAAGTCGAACAGACAAAAACTTGTTCCTGCCTCTAATAAGCATATATATCTATCAAAAGATGAAAAGTTTACGTACTTTCCCCATTCTGAAGGAGGATTCCATGCAGCCAGAAGTGTGTCAGATTTAGCGTTCGGCAGGCAGTTTTTCACAACACAGTACTTTATTGTGAATCTAGCAACACCAATATCTTTATAATCTCTGTCAAAGTCATATATCTGCATACACCAATTAAAAATATTCATCAAAAACATCAGAATACAAACAAAAATACCTTCAAAACTTAGTTGTTTCGATTTCAAAAATCAATTTCATGAACAAAGATCTACATACCATGTCATTTATCTCTATCTCTGAAATAGCTTTCGCATCCAAAAGCATGCTCCATGCCACTTTCTTCAATTGAAAAGATACGTGCATAGCACATGAGGGGCCTTTATTTTTCTCTTTCTCCTTCTCCATTAACCGTTGCTGTGCAGCTTTCCGCAAAACCACCCTCAAAGAAGCAGCCGCAGCCTTTCTGGATTTTTGTGCATTTACCACTTCTTTCCTAAGTTTTTGCACCTGCAAAGGTAAAGGTGAAGTTTCAAGTTTTTTTTTAATTTTATTTATACCAAAACTTAGAATTAGAAAACATAGAAAGCAATGGGAATTCATACAATTAGTTGCAGACCTATATATGGACCAACTCTTATAAATTTACACATGTAAGCCTAATTATTGATATTCTGTATGAAATATAAAGTTCACTAACATGATACATAGCAAACCTCAGTAGGAAATTTAACTGAAAAAGTAATCTTATACCATAACGTACATATAAAATGACTACAATCAAAATGATCAAGAGTGGCATTCGCTCCAATTTAAAACATCACTTGTTTTGAAAGGCTCTGACGTAGAACACTAGCTATAGTCCACAAGAACTGCATCATGTTTATTCTTTCCAACTTTTCCTTTGGCATAAACTTTTGAATTGAATAACTCAAAAACTTTAAATCTTACCAATATGGATCTACTGCAGGTTACCATCCACATATCCCCTTCCTTTTCCGAGGAGATGTCTACAGCGGTATCATTGGGAACTGCAAGCTTCCTTATATCATTGTAAAGCAAGTTTTGTGCTCGTTCTTTCTGTTCAAGGTTGACTCGTTCTAGTTCTACCTCTTCAATACCATCAGGAACAACCTCATCGACTTCCTCCTCCATGTCTTCATCATCTTCTGCTGATTTTGGAAGACTACTTTTCTGAGGCCTGAATTACAAACACTAGTTAAATCAAAGGTACAGTCACATATATATAACTTGTAGTTTCTGAACCAAATCATTCATTGAAAATTTTCCTCAGGTTAAATCAATCATGATTATAAGCTTCGTAGTTTACTTGTAAGATTGTACAAATATATAGCAAATAGCTGCTGCTTAATTATATATCTTATATTACAGTTTGTTGGTAGTATGATTTTACATATACATAGACAGATATTATAATAGCTAAATATCATTGACTTTGGAGGCCTGATGTGAAAGAGTAAATAATGATAAAGAATCTTACTTTGGAGGCCTGGCCAAGAGTAGATTGTTCATGACATCGAGGATAACTTGATACTGGCGAGATGTTATGGTTGCTGTTATATTATCAGAATTGAATGCAAGTTCGTTCAAAGGTTTCACCTGCAAAGGAAAGGTTTCAACAACTTAAGCTTTAGCTTTGATTGTCTAGTAGTTGTAACAAAGATGCTAACCATCAGCAAATTTCATATTGTTCTTCGTCAACATACAAAGTCCATGTCCTTTATAGAAATTTCTTTTCCTTTAACTTTTTAAAATAACCCATTTAACACACCTTCAAATCTGCAGCTTCACCTTTGTGCCTTGTGTAGCGGAAATACATATCACAGGGCATAAACACTTGTTCAAGTAGAGCTCCGGTTCGCTTTACTTTTGGCGAGCTCCTACGTATCTTGGGCAGCCACTGGACTCCAGCCCCTGGATCGACATCAGTTGGAGCAACGTGAGCCTGCACGTGTTCCAACATCATAGAGAGCTCTGATCGGTTCCATATCAATTCAGGTTGCCTTTCACAATTATTTACCCCTCCATTACTCACAGCTGCTTGTTCAATCACCTCGATGCCAACATTAACAACTTTATGAAATGAGCGAGCTAAAACTCGACCACTAGCAGCAGCAAGCAAAAATCTACCCTGTTGACCATAAAATTTTAATCCATTAACATATAAAATATACCCAAACCATAATCATCAAGTTGAAAATACATACATTGTTAATATACCATATCCTCTTCCCTTTTCAGAGTACAAGTTTGCCGTTAAAATTTTCCTTGATGATAGGTAAGTAATGTTGATAGCATCTATGGTAGGTAAGAGATTGACCAAGTACCATCTAGAGGTTTTAGTACAAAAATGAAAAGACTGGTTGCAGTTTAGGCCAAACTAGACACCCCCTCTCCCAAACCGTAAAAAAGCTGATGTCATCATCCAACTTGTCATTATTCATTATGGGAAACTGAAAACAATAGGACAGAAGGGAGGAAGGCTATGAACATGAAATATCAAGCCATACAAGAGATCCTAAACACATTATCAAATGAATAATTAATGGATGAAAAAAGACAAACCCCTGAAGAGGATGGGCATATTACTTAAACCAATTTCAAGCAATTACACTATAAAAAATAAGTTGTAACAACTTACATTGGCTTCTTCTGAGTGAAGATTGAACTGTGGCTCGATAACATTTACCATGAAAAGACAAGTGCCCTCCTCGTCCTCCTCAGAGGCATCAACATTGTCATGTTTTGCTGCCAAAAACACTGAAATCTTTAGACATACCGAGTGATGGTCCAATAAATGATTACATCAAAAGTTTTAAGGTGGCCTTGCACTTACCAACATCATCAAATGTTTGACGGTCTGGTTTATCTGAATCTGATGGAGACTGTGATGCTTCCTTTTGTTTTGGAGAAGGACTTCCATCTTGACCAGGAGAAGTGGTCTTTGAGATGTCTTCTTGAATAATAGGTTCACTTTTATTTTGTGGCGGCTGGGTCTCCTCAAGTAGCTTCCTCTGTGCATACTGACGAGAAGGAGAAGGTTTTGGAGGAGTAGCAGCTTTGGCTAACTCACTACCCCATGACAACATACCGTTTCTGTTCTCAATCGTCCAAAGGAGCTTCAATCCATACACAAAAATGCGCTGACAGTTATCAGCTATCACAACATTATATCCGTCATCATCACTTGGGTCAGACTTTTCTTGTTCATCACTATCACTTCCACGTCGAGATTCGGATTTATAATATGTCATTGCATTACTTCTTTTCCAAGCTTCTTGCCATGTCAATAATCTTGAACAATCTGCCTTGGGGGATTGCTTTCTGATTATAAAGTAATCAGATGACAATAAAAATCCATCATCACGATGCCTTTCTGTGGTTCCTCCAGCATTATCATTTACTTGTGAGCTTTTCTTTGATGTTTGAACTTTAATAACACTTGTGCAATCTTCCTTATTTAAATATACCTTAGGCATATGCAGATCAATGCCCTGGTAAACAAGATCAAGAAGATCACGCTTGCTATCAAATGTGAACTTTTGCTTTCCACGACCTAAATACATTTCAGATTTTATCTTTGACATCTTAAAAGTCAATCCTCTAGCTGGATCATTATCATCTAAAGACATATGCCTTATACAGGTTGGAGTTATATCAACACGAAACATAACTTCTGTCATCACTTTGTCTAATGCCAGGTTGCCAGATCTAGCAACTCTTGGAACACCAAAGCGAGGATAACGAGAGAAGAAACGCAATTTCACAGGAGGAAGAACATTCAAGTTACCGAACTTTATTAGCCAAACAATATCATGCGGAGCAACACTTATAGTAGGTGAATCAAATGATGCAATCTTATCAGAGGATTGTGACTGATTCTCAGACGAGGGAATAGCTTTGAGGGCCAAATTGACACGCAGGGAGAGTGAAGTAGATCTGAAAGGATCGAATATATACTCACGAGCAACCCCTTCAGATGGAAGTGCAAACAAAAAATGGTTTAATGGGGTGCCAGAGTCACAACCCCAATCCATTAAAACCTCAAGAATGAGAGTTGGGGCAACTAAGAAAGGTCCCTGGCCCCCAGTAGGAGGTTTGATGGTTGAATTCCTTAGCAAAGTATCCAAACTGCTCGTAAATATATTCACCTCCCTTGCAGAAACATAAATACGCCCATCTGACTGCTGGATTTCCATATATCCACAAGACATTTGGAGTTTGTCAGACTTTTCATACGGATCAACTGTACCAAGAACATTAAATAAAATGTCAGAGAAAGACAGGGTGGTTTTGCCATGAATATAATTTCTCATCTCATCCCACCATGGCAAGCTCTTCTCTTTCTTTGGGGGAAGAACAAAAGGATTTGGGTTCCTAACGCTTAAGTTGGCCCTACGTAAAGCCACAGTGAAGGCATAGCTCAAATCAGCTAAAGGTGGTTCGAATCCCACTCCAAAAGATACCTCTCCTTTCTGGAAATGCAATGGCAAATCTAAAAATGTTTTCATTGGTGGAGTTGTGCCACTAACTGAACGATACATTTCCACCTTCCTCCATTTACCAATATAGACTTCATGCAGAGTTTGGGGCTGAAAAGGTGTGGCCTGCAATAAGGAGAATTATTCAGAATCTTCTTGTTTACATGCTCTAGTCCTGGTCCTGACAGACAACCAAAACTATCTGTGTACATGTTTATAACAAGAGCTCATATATTTCCTGTATAATTCAATAAGGATACATATAGTTACAACCTACAACATTAAGCATTTGGTTTTTATTTTAGACTGCGTAATGCACATAAATAAAAATTTGGTGCTTATCCACAGTCTAAAGTGTTAGATAAATAACTGAAGAATTCAATACTTTTGTTGCATATTCATTGCAAGAACAAGGCCCAACCAATGCAAACATAACGCAGGCCCAAGTTTAATTAGAAGAAGGTAATATCTGCTAAATTAAAATGGTCCAGTAGGCCTCCTTACAGCTTCTATTTCTGTTATCATCTAATTTCTGATATGGGCAAGAGTCTGCTAGGAGAGAGAATAGTGCCTACACACACACACATATATATATATATGGCTGATGTGATAACAAACCCAAGAAATATACTATTTATTCCAATTTCTATCAACTCTTTCTTTCTGATTTTCACAGCTGCTGCTATTAGTCTCGGGGATCATTCTATCAATTTGGTTTCCTAACTAATAAATTCAATTGATCTTCGCCACGTCTTATTAACCTTGATCAAACTCTAGAGGGAAACTGGGCTGCACCACTTGTATCAGAGCTTCAAGAACATCTGCTTCACCATTGCTCAAACCAGATCCATCATAAAAGACCAGCAAAAATGTAATGACAGTAGCCCAAACAATGAACACTCTTTTTCTGGTGAAGTGGAGCAGAACAAACCGTCACCCACCATGGCTCAGATGGAGGTACTTTTTTATTCTACTTTGAGTGATTTTGGCATTAAAACTTGAATCTGCGGGTCAACAACATAGCATGTCTATAGCTGAAAATTCCTGAACTATCTCTGAAATGAGTGATCTAATTCATGGATTATCTCTATAAATGACACAATTAGCTGAATATAAGGGATGAAACTACTATTATTATCCGAAAATATGCTTAAGATATACATCGAATGGTTGGAAATATGTCTGTCTTTGTTTCTCTGTTCGAGAATTTGACTTCAACCATTCCATTTTCATGTCGAATGAAATCTGGAGCTGTGTTTGTTTGTACAGGGGCTTGATGGATCTGTTCGTAATTGGTTACCGATTAGATGGAATTGGAATAAACGAGCTGGAAGAGCTTGCTTTCTCCACAGGAAACACATTGGAAGGACCTTGGCTTTGTGGATTGTATGGATGTCTTTTGGGACATCATATTTATAGTCCTTTGGTCTGGACAGAAAATTTGCTAGAATATTTTCTGACCCCTTGATGTGTTTCACAGTGAATTTCCATTGAGAGAACCAATTTGCCCACCTCAAAAGTTGGGCTTCTAGGAATATCTTTCTTTTGAAATGGAGCATGCGTGGGAAGGAAGACATATCCATTTCAATCTGGAAATCATGACCGATTAGATGGAATTGGAATCTTTCTATTCCCCTTTTGACAACTAAGATCTCTTTGAAGGTAGAGTGGTAGTGTTGCTCTGATTCTTTGAACGTGCCGCTTTTGTATCCACAAATTGTTTTGACACCAGTTTTGTCTTAAACTATTAGAACTGCCCCCCAATACTCATCGCTTGCTTCAGTCTGGAGGACCCTTTTGTCAGAAACAGTATTCATCTTTAAAGGAGGCATCACATCAGCTAGTTGCTATCCTTTCTATAGCTAATGTTTGTTTCCTACTCCAAGGGGGCGGACTTTTTTCCAGCATGGGGAGTAAATGCACAATATGGCTTGATAATTTAGGCAACGAATCTGCCATATAATTACCAGCCCAAGAAATTGTTGAATTTCTTTTTGCGACGTCAATATTCCTGGGAACTCGTGCAGTTCTTGAGCAATGTGAGGCTGTGGTTGGCATTGTCCATAAGATATTTTCATACCAAGAAAATCAATAGAATTTACTCCGATTTCCATCTTCTTCTCGGATAACATGATCCCATGTTCTTTGACAACATAATGAAACCTGGTGAGTAAATCTATGTGAGATTTTTCGTCTGGTGAGAACAGAAGGATATCATTGATGTATACCAGAGTGTTGTTGAGTATAGGTTCAAAAATCCTTATCATTGCCTTTTGGAAGACAGATGGAGCATTTTTTAAACCAAACGGTATTACTTTCCACTGGTAGTGATGGTCTGGGATGCAGAAGGCAGTTTTTGGTCTATCATCAGGACAACCCTAATTGCCAAAACCAGCTTTGAGATCAAATTTTGACAAAACCTTTGCATCTACGAGAGACTGGAACAATGACTTCTTCTGTGGTAGAGGGAACTTGTCATCAGCCAAAAATTAGTTGAGGGGTTGATAATTTATGACTAGCCTAAGCTTGCCACGAGCTTGTTCACTCCTCTTGTTAACGTAGAATGCCTCACATGCCCATGGTGATGTGGTTGACTATATGAGATCCTGACTTATCAGTTCTGAACACTTTTGAGTTGCAAGCTGGAAGTGATCTGGATTCATGCCTGGATGGCTTGCTCTTGTGGGGTTAACATCTTCGTTTTGTTTGAATGGGAGCGTAATAAAGAACGAAGGATTTAACCATAATGGAGATCCATTTTTCTTCAAAAATTATGTATGATTGGAGGCGCAAGAAGTTTGAATAATCTGGTGTTTGAGTCTACCCATAGTGATGCCTGATGCCATATAGAGTCGTGGAATAGAGCTCCATGGATTTAGGAAACTCTTGTAGCGTAGACCCTGTTCTGCATACTTCAATCCTGATAGTGTATGGAGTATGTCGAAACCAATCAGAAGTCCTTGCCATGCGAAGTGGATCCTAATAATTTGTGTTTAACCACACATTTAGGAAAAAGCCGGATGTATACCGGGATACTAATTTTGTCGATGACAAGTATCACCATTGGCTGCAAGGAAGTGCTGGTGATGTGGCCTCCAGTAGCTGCTGAGTAAGATATTAGGATTTAATATTGAAACAGAAGACCCAGTATCAAAAAGGCGACAATCGAGATAAGCTTGGCATATGTTGTGGTGAGAAGGTGGACTTTGGCTAAAGGAACTGGCTGTGATTTTTGTACGGGTAATACATGCGGGACAAAGTTTCAAATGTGTGGGAGAGGAAGAGGTTTTCCTGAAAAATAGGGAGAGGTTTTATCATGAAAACTTCGATGTCGGGATGGTACTCTGAAAGCTCAGTTTCGGACTCTTCATCTGAAGAGTCTGAATAGGCAATTGAACATAATGACTGGTCATTAAGTTCGACATCAAGAGAATAGAGAGATTCCAGGTCTGAGATGTCGACCGGCTCAATTTGGTTGAGTGTCTGAATTAGCGCTTGGGATTTTCTCTTGTCTGTACAATTTCTTGCAAAGTGCCCTTTTTTTTTTTGCATATATAGCACCTATCAGTGTTTTGAACCCATTGTGGTTTCTGTTTTAGGAATTTCCATCTTTTGTTTCGACCGTTATGTGAGACGAATGGCTTTCTCCTTTCATCCGAAGTGGACATCTTCCTTTTGCGGGAACAATCACAAGAAGAATTCTCTTTGCATTTTATTCGTAAATATTTGTCATCACAAGGTGTACGAAGGGTTTTGCTAGTCTTCTCGAGATCTCATAAGAAGTTTCTCTGATTGCAGAGCTTAGCGAGTGCATTCAATAACAGCTGGTAAAGTTCTCCTATTGAGGCTTGAGCAACTGTGATTCCTTTCAGCTCTAAGAATCTAAATAATTCATTTGCTAGAGTTTCTGGGAAGGAGTTTAAGAATACTTGTTTGAGATTCACATCATCTGGTCTATTTAGACAATAAAATCCTTTTGACATGCGATCATAATGTCTTTTAAGATCTTTTTTCTAATATGAACACCACTTCCTTTTCAAGAATTCTTCTCTTGCATGGGCAGTGTGCTCGATTGGATTGCCTATAAACTCAACATAGATTTTATGTATGAGTTCTTTGGGAGATTGAGATTGCTGGATTTGTAGTTGACGATACTCTCCAAGACTCAAGTACCAATCTCTGAGGCGACCTTGACACCTGGTTATGAATCTTTTAACTAACACGTCAATATCATAGTATTGGAGTTCTGCACTACACCATGTTTGCATTTCAATGCTTCTGTCCCTCCATCTTGATGGGGGAATGTCATCAAAGGTGAACTGCTAATTAGTATCACCTTTTGGAGCTTTGGCCCGTCTTTAGGGTGTTTGTTTCTGAACCAGTGTCACTAGGTCCTTCTTCTACTTCTGAATCAACATGATACCCGGTTTCTGGCTCTGTCATGAACAGGTGTTCGAATGCTTCTGTTGGGTCAAAATCACCTTCTTCATTAATGGAGTAAGAGATGATTGGTGCAACAACAACAGTGGATGCCGTAGGGGTATTCTTTTGGGTCAAAGACTGTAGAAAGAAGAAATAGGGTTTATTTCCTCTATTAGCAAACTCCAGGTGGCCTTGAGGAGGCAACCATAGATGTGTCTTCTGGGAGTACCTTTGTTCCACTAGAGGAGGCTATCTCGGATCTTTCTGGGGTTTGTTGAGATATGGCAGGAAACAAAGTGCGCTTGCTTGTCCCTTCTTCTTTTTTAGAGGACCATAACATTACTGACGGAGATGTCTGGATGAATGGTGACGAAGGAAGTGGCTGTGGATCAAATGCAGTTCCAATATAGGCAGTGGAAGGTAACCTCCATGGATCATCAACCAGGGTTGATAATCGTTTTTGCTTGTGTTGTCTTTCAAGATCCATAAGCTGAGCTTTTAGGAACTTCATTTCTGATTCCTTTTGGGTGAGAGAGATGGGAGAGATGGGACTGGAGTTAGGGTGGGAACTGAGAATTTAGAAGTTAATGAAGGAGGTCAAATTTATTCTTCAAGGTTGACCAAGGTGTAATTCCCTGATTTGGAGGTGAAGACAAGTCTTGGTTATACAAGGAAGAGCAATTCTTTCAATTGGATCAGAAGGA